TCATTTCCCATTGTGTCAAAAAGACCCGAACATGTCTTTTGAGTGTCTTTTACAACATAGGCCAACACCCAGATAGGTTATTGTATTTTTATTTTTTACATTTCTAGTAACTCCCTCGGCCGCTCTGCACTTATTTATTTATTCAGTCATTTAATGCCGGGGTACAATAACGAAAGGTATTTTAGATGTATACATAACATTTTTAAAAAAATAAGAAAATATATAAAGTTTATAAAATTACATAGTTTATAAAATATCACTCGCGTGGCAAGCCCGCGAAAGAATGCAGAGGGGATATATAAAGCTGCGGTCAGTGCCCTTCGCCCACATAGCGGACATCTCTTCTGACATCTCTTCTGACTGGATCACCACGGACGACTGAGTTTTCCTGAGGTAAAGTACCTATTTATCAGATTATTTTAATTACCTTAAAGACAACATTTAATTACATATAAACAAATATGTAAATTGTGTAAAACTAGCTATAAATAGGCTATGACATTTCAAAATATGACCAGAGTAAGTAAAAAATTATCTTAGGACACAGTTTGAACAGTTTTTTTTCTCTCAGCTATTATAACAACTAAAAATAAATAACATCCGTTTTCTCAAATGAAACAAATTAAATGGTTAAAAGGTTGTCCGACTGCCTTTTCCACACACAAATAATGACTTTCCGCATTTTTTCAACATTAGGCCTAGTCAGTAGGGTCAGTACAGTTAAATGCCGTTAAATTCCGTTAAATATGTGTGACATCATGATTTAAACCCCCTCCACCCCTCCCCCTGCGTGACGTCATTTGCGTGTTTAAACCCCCTTCCCTCCCCTTCCCTCCCCTTCCCTCCCCTTCCTCTCCCCCTCCTCTCCCCCATAGACATCATATAGATAGACGCCCTATCGACCGCTAGGGGCCGCCATCTTAGACCGGTCGCCCGCTCCGCTCAGTGTAATCTGTTTGGCAGTTGCAATGAGCTGTCAGCGCATTTAATTAATCATATCTCACTGAATACCGAACTGATTTTCACGTGGTTTGTTTTGCTGCAAAGGTCATACATGTAGCTATGATACAGGACACATTGAATATTTTATTCACAAAATACAATTAATAGTACGGTAGTGTTAAATCTTAAATATTACATGTGAAAAGTAATCTCCGAGCGATGGTCTACCGATTTGAGCAGGAATATGCTGCACAGTGCTCTGGCATCTACTGCTGCTATGCAACGCAAATAGGAGTATGACCGGTTTAAGATGGCGGCCGCATTTCTTGCGCCCAGCGGCCAATAGGGCGTCTATCTATATGATGTCTATGCTCTCCCCCCTCCCCTTCCTCTCCCCCCCTCCCCTTCCTCTCCCCCCCTCCCCTTCCTCTCCCCCCCTCCCCTTCCTCTCCCCCCTCCCCTTCCTCTCCCCCCCTTCCTCTCCCCCCCTCCCCTTCCTCTCCCCCCCTCCCCTTCCTCTCCCCCCTCCCCTTCCAATTTTTTTGAGTAGTCTGTATCCATTAATGAAACATTTTAACTCGTATAGAGGCCCATCACACATATTCAGCCTTGTTTATAGTTTTTCTCTTTTTCTTGTGTCCGCAGCAGCCCGATATACTGTACACCCCAAAAGTTATTTTAAGAGCTAAAACAGTTTTGGTTTTGTAAGTACATGTTTTCAGTATTTATTGGCATAATGCAGCATACCTGCAACATGAAACTTAAGGACTGTTACCAGGTTTGATTCATATATTTTTTCATTTCTTTGTTTTATTAGATTTTGGATTGTCTTCCTCAGTTTTAATTTCAAGGTAAGTAATATTACTTAGCTGCTCCTAAATGTGTTGTTATGTTAAGCCTATATTTTATTTTGAATCTGATTTATATTTGGTCATTTTTTTAAAAAAAATTAAGAGAACACTGCAAAGTTATAAAGTTAGTTATTAATATTTTTATTTTATTCTACACCCTCAAAAAGATAAGAACATAGTAAACTTGCTAAACCTGTATCAACATTGGCACTTCAAAATATTAATGAAGTCCAATAACCTCGGCAAGCAGGAGTTTTGTTCTCTGCTCTCCCTCGTTGGTCAAGTTGTGATGTTATCTAAGCTAATAATTTAGAAACTATTCAGTTCAGTGCCAAACTGCGCAGTCCTTGACTGTATGTGGACAGTGTGGCCCACACTGCAAATCCTGATGAATAAAAAAAAATCCGGTAACACTTTATTTCGATAGTCTACTTTAGTCATTCTGCTAACTATAAGTAACTTTGTAGCAAGCAACATGTCAACTAACTGTCATTAGAGTATTAATTGACTGTCTGCTCAATATTTTAACAGTAACAGTCTACTGACAGTCTACTACACTCTACTAATACCTAATACATTCTAATGAGAGTTAGTTGACGTAGTTGAAAAGTTACTTAGAATTAGTAGAATGTTAAAAGTGGACTAGCAAAAATAAAGTGTGACCATTAATCCTAATAAATACTTGTTCTGTTACAGTTTTATTTGCATAACTTATTTCAGAAATGACACATAACGAAACTATGTGGACCCCTTTTCAATACTTTTGGATATGTCTCCTTGATTTCATGAAAGCAAATATTCTGAATTTAGAATGAACTCAAAATCCAGAAGGCAAAGGTACACAAGGCAATGGAAATGTGCCCGGAAGTCACTAACTGAAAGGATTATTGGAGAACAATCAGTAACATCTCAACATGGTGAAGATCAGGTCAATGTGGATGAAAGAAATGACAAGGACATCTGGGGTGCTTTTAAATGTGCAGAGACAGGAGTCAGTGAAGAAATCTGCAGTTTAGGACATGAGAATGATGATAATGGGGCCAGTGAAGAAAACTGCAGTTCAGAACATGAGAATGAGGATCATGTCTTCAGTGAGGACAACTGCACTTCAGGGCCTGAGGATGTGAATCAAATGCAGCCAGCCTCACTTACAACATTTTTGCAGGGTTGGGCTACAAAACACCTTATTAAACACAATGCCATTGATGACCTTCTGAAGGGACTTAGAAAAAATGGACATCCAGAGCTGCCTTTAACAGGAAGAACCTTGCTGCAAACTCCGAGACACATTAAAACAGTGATGAAGTCAGGGATGGAGTGTGTTCATTTCAACTTGAGAGAGTCTTAGCGAGCAGTTGCAGCACTACCCAAGAGATGTAACTGACGGAATAACAACACTAGAGTTATCATTCAATATAGATGGACTGCCCATTTTCAAAAGCAACAAAGCAAATCTATGGCCCATCCTCTGTGCCATTCACCTGACACCTATCAGAGTCTTTCCGGTGACACTGACACTTGGTCCTTCCAAACCAAAAGATTTGGATTTTGTTGAGGAAGCCATTAAAGACATTCAGGATCTCCTGGACAATGGTTTCGAAGGAATACAAATTCAAATTAGATGTGTTGTGTGTGATGCACCTGCGAGAGCAATGGTCAAAAAGATAAGAACAGTACTCAGGATATTACGGGTGCGATAAGTGCACTCAGAAGGGCCTGTGGGTTTCTGGGAGAGTAACATATCCAAAGGCAGACAACCTCACGCTACGCACAAATGAGACATACCGTGCTGAAATGGCAAAACGGCAGAAAGATGATGCCATTTCAGTGTCCCCATTTTTGAGGCTCCCTTTGGACATGATCAACCAATTTCCAATAGATTATATGCACCAAGCCTGCCTGGGGGTCACAAAAAAAATGATCACAGAGTGGATGAGAGGAAACCGGAATGTGCGAATGTCAGCTGGACAAATCAATGAAGTGACCCAACGGCTGCTGGCACTCAGAAAAGACATTCCCAGCTGTTTTGCTAGAAAACCAAGGGGTCTGGATGACATAGATAGGTGGAAGGCAACAGAACTGCGGCAGTTTGCCGTGTACACTGGCAAGATTGTACTATAAGGAATTCTGGCCGACCAGTTGTACGATCATTTTATGACATTCAGTGTTGCCTTGGGTCTTCTTCTTTCACCAAATTCGGCAGTGGACCACAATGGCTACAGCAGTCAGCTGATGAAATACTTTGTAGAAAAAACTAAAGAACTGTATGGTGATCATTTCATGGTATACAACATACATTCCATGATACATCTATCAGCAGAGGCCATCAATTTTGGTTGTCTTGACGCTTGCAGCGCTTTTCCATTTGAAAACTTTCTGGGAAAGCTTAAACGACTCGTAAGGTCAGGAAAGAAGCCGCTTGTTCAAGTGGCCAAACGTCTGATGGAGAGGTCAAATTTTCCACAGACTCAATCAGTGGTCACCACAAAGTTCAAAACGACACGACCAAACAATGCTTTCATTCTCGGGGAGGGGAAATGTTGCATGGCCATTGAAGAGAGGGAAGAGATGCATGAGTCAGGCTCTCGAATGTTATTGTGCAAGGTTTTTGAGAAATCTCAACCACTTTTCAAAGACCCATGTGACTCACGGATGATTGGTTGTTTCAAAGTGCAGTCAAGACAATCCAAAATGACACTAATCCCAGAACAGCAGCTAACAAAAACTGCCGTAATGATTGAAGAAAACCAGGAAATATTTTTTTTGGCCATACTGCATACACTTTAACTCTCTTCCCCATCCCACCCCACCCCACCCCACAACACCCCACAACCGACGGACTACGTTTTCCTCTTGTAATGTCCGGACACTGGGCTGGGAGAGGAGGAAGATGAGGGTCTGCCTTTTGAACTGTTTACTGTCGTTCTTCCTTGGACTGAGGATGGTCTTGCTTTCGTTTCAGGGTGAATATAACAATTTGACTTTGTGACTTTTCTTTTACCCAGCATGTTATTGCAAAAATGATTTGTGATCAAACACTAATTTGCGGGCCCCCTGCAGTACCGCTGACCCCCGGTAGAAGACCCTTGCTGTAGAGTGAACTCGTATAGACAAAGAGCACTGTTAATTCAGGACCAGAGATTGTGTTGTGCATATTGACAGGCGTTTGTAATATAAAAGCATTGTGTTTTATCTCTCAACAGATGGAGACTTTTGCAGTGGTCGAGTTTGCAGATGATAATTCTGTAGAAATTATCCCAACCACTTGGTTGGAGGAAACGATCAAAGTATGCTTTTATTCACTAAACTTTAAAATAACATTACACTTACACTCATGCTTACAATGTGAAAATCCACTGTGAATGCTAATTGTATTTATTTATTTTCATTCATTCATTCATTTTAAATAGGGAATATTCTGTTACTGGACCTACATGAACTCAAGGCAGTTGGTAAAAAACAATGCGATCCCTGACAAGCAAAAGTGGAGGCGGTTCTTGCTGAAAAAAATTTGGTTAAGAACAGGTATAGTGATACTATTTCAAGATTTAAGTATGCTGCCTGACTCATGAAGGTGATGTTAAAACCTTTTCTATAATATTATTTGACATATATTTTACAGACTCTTATGCCAAAGCCTCCCAGAAATGCCAGCTTGTTACCGAAACGTCACATATTGAAACAGAGGACACAAGTAAAAAGAGGCCACATAAAATGCCAAAGAGATTTCAGTCTGAAACAGAAATTTCTTCAGATGGTAGGTGTTCAAATTGTGTTAGTATTATCTTAGCTCAGCTGGTCTTCTTGCAGATTCAACCTTTTTTTTTCTTTACTTTTTTCATCCGATTTAATGATTTGCTGAATCAGAAATCTGTAGTTGCTCTGAATATATTGGTTGAACTTGAGATTTCAGATTGGCTAAACAAAGGTATTGTAATTGACTTTTTGTTGTTGTTGTGGTTTTTTAATAAAATGTATAGTAAGTTTTCTCAGCCATGGTCGCTACCACAGTTGGTTTTCTTTTGTTTTTAGATTTTGCAACTATATTTTATCTTTTATGATTGAACTATGGCATTAAAGGCATTTGTGAACTTTGCCTTTATTAAAACATGCAAAAATTCATTACTTTCAGATGATTGCAGAGTTAAAAAGAAGAAAAAGGTGTCGAAACCTGTTGCACCTAAATGTAAGTTGTTACATAATTTCACAGTACATTACATTTTATTTGCACAATTCAAAGCAACCTAGACGTCTTTTTGTATTTCTGTTGTATTGTCAGATAAGCAACTGTCCAAAACATATCCTCAAGACAAGGGTAAGTAGAATGATTTATAAATATAAAAAAAATGTGTTTCAAGATTTAATCCATAATGGACTTAAAGTAATATATTTCTTTCTCTTCTCAGGCAATCAAGAAAAGCCAAGATCTCCTGACTTATTTTGTAAGAAGTTTTAAATGTTATTAAACATTTTAATGTCCATGTATACCTATTGTACATCTATATTTTATTAAAAATTAATTTATTTACAGCAGAGGCATCATTGCCGTGCTCACTGCAAACTGTGTCACCACCCCATCAAGGTGTGTAACAATATCATTGATATTCATAAATGTGTATGTAATATCAATTTTGAAACATAGGTATTTTTTATGCCACAGCAGATCAGATATCAGATCTCCTCTTAAGAGAACCACAGGCCTCATCCGAAGAAGCAACAAAAAGTAAGCTTACAGCTGTCTGTCACAAACATCCACACTGATTCCATAATGTTTATTTATTTTTGTCTTAGACTACCGCACAAAAGTCTTGCAGAAGTTACAAGAGCTCTGCGAGAACCAGCAAGACATCCTCACACTGCAGAGAAGACTGTTGGCTGCTATGACTGTGCCAGGGGTAGAGACAGAGGAGGACATTCTAGAAAATGGGCCCTGTCAAACTGTAGAAGAGCTTAAACAGTTTGACACCTCATTAGAAAATAAAGAGACTAGGACAAAGATGGTAATAAATACAGCAATTTACAGCTGTCAATGACAATAAAATGCATAGTTGCATAATTTTCTGCTGTTACAATGAGTTTACTCATTTGTGGGTGAACTGTTATTTACTCTCACTGATGTTTCTTTAAACCTGCATTTTATTTATTTGTTTTTTAACATGACCAAACAGTTGCTGTTCCCTGTTAACTTCCACAGTATAGAAACATATATACAATGGAAGTCAATGGGGAAAATAAACTGTTTGGTTACCAGCACTCTTTAAAATATCTTCCTCCATGTAAAAAAAAAAAAAAAAAAACTCCATACAGGTTTAAAAAAAAATAAGGGTGTGTAAATACCAGCAATGCTCATTTGTGGGGGAACTATCCCTTTAGGTTAATTTCTATGGTTTTATGGTACATAACTGTCATGTTTGTTTTTTAGGTTAACTACCTACGCTCCATCGGGGGTACCAATCCAGGGGCGGCTGTACGTAAAATGCTACGTAAAGTAGCCACCAATGAAGTCCTAAGTGCTTACAGCATGAGAGGGAAGAAAACAAAAATGGCATTCCAGGAGCTTAGGATTTGCTCTCTTATCATAGGAAAGTTTAATTCCATAATCCTTTTAAAAATATATATTGATTGTCAATTTAAGTAGTTACAATTTGGAGATGATTTGTTGTTTGATATAAAATTTTATCTAAAATTTTATCTAATTTCTAGGAGCAACACAGAGGAACTTCAAATCAATGAAGTCAATAGAAGTGGAAGATCTAATCTCACTGGCCCTGAAATTCGCTCCACACAGGAATTTAAAATGGTAAACGCATGTATTTGTTGAATAAACAAACACTCAACATGAAACAAGACATACATACACACTCGAGACCGTCCGCTCACACACACACCAGACAATACGGTCTGTCACAAAACCAAGAAATAAACTAGACCGCACTAAGTGACAGTATTTAAATGCATTTTGAAATTACTATGTCAGTGGAACTGATGCAAAAGTATTATCATTATGTATCAGGTAGGTGTAATTGTACCAATAAAGGCATCAATTTAATATTTTTATAAGAATTTACACGCCATGTTATTGCATCCTATTAATGCTCGACTGTAATCTGAATAAAAAAATAATAGTGCTTTGCTCTTTTCTTTGTGCCTTTAAAGAAGAAAAATGCATGGATACTAACAACATTAATTACATTTTAGTATTAGAAATACTACTTGTTTACAAGAGATGTTTCGAATCAGAGAATCTAGATATAGCCTCAGAGGAATTGATTTGTTACAAAAACCCATGGCGAAGAGTAATACTAAGAGAAGGTGTTTATCAGTTAAAGGAGTTAATTTATGGAACAGTCTTCTTATTTCACTTAAGAGCTCTAAAACTATTAATGCATTTAAGAAAAGATATAAGTTAAACATTATGGAAAAGTATAGAACACTTGAATGAAGAACATTAGAAAAGTAAGCGAAAGTGGATGCATAATATAATTTTGATTGTTGAAGTTTAAGTTCTGTGCATGTTATCATTTTTGGTATAAGAGAAACCATAAAATTGTGTCATCTTTGGACATAGTGTTTTTGTTGTAAAAGGGGTTAGGCAAAATAAGTCTTGACTTCAGCCTAAACCCCTTCGGTCAGGTATTATTTAGCATTTAAATTCCTAGGTACTCATTTTGTATTTATCTTTCTAATGTATTTAAAAAAAAAATTCTTTCTCTATTTGTTTAATTGTTTTATGTGTTTTTCATTGTATTATGTACAGGATTTTTGAATTACATATGACCTAAGATTTAATTGTTCAAAATGACCGAAGAAAATAAATAACTAACTAAACTAACTAAACAAGACTATCATTTTTTACTTTTCTTTGTAATAATATTTGTTATATTTACAGATGACTGGGGTGAAGATGCAGAGGCTTTCAAGTGCAGGATCTACAATTAGACTAGGCCTACTAATAAAAGTGTATTCTTAGTTTGTTTTCGTTTCGGCTTTTGCGCATGTTTTGAATGTGATGCATAGCCTGATGTGTTTTTTGTGTTTTTAATCAACAATTAAACAATGAATCGACAAAAACATGGACTGTACAGGTTGATTATTCATATAGATTTACGGTTATATTTTATTAAAGTAAAAAAAAGATGAATTGTTGTTGAACGTAAAGAAAACTCTACTGGCTAACTAAAAACAAACCATAAAAAATAACGTTCTGGGAACCAAAAACTAACTTTTTGATAACCAAAAACTAATGTTCTGAGAACGTTCTGGGAACCAAAAACTAACGTTCTGGGAACCAAAAACTAACGTTCCGAGAACGTTCTGGGAACCAAAAACTAACGTTCTGGGAACCAAAAACTAACTTTCTGAGAACCAAAAACTAACTTTCTAAGAACCAAAAACTAAACGTTCTGAGAACGTTCTGGGAACCAAAAACTAACTTTCTGAGAACCAAAAACTAACTTTCTAAGAACCAAAAACTAAACGTTCTGAGAACGTTCTGGGAACCAAAAACTAACGTTCTGAAAACGTTAAGAAAACTTTCCTGGCTAACCAAAAACAAACCATAAAAAATAACGTTCTGAGAACCAAAAACTAACGTTCTGAGAACGTTCTGGGAACCAAAAACTAACGTTCTGAGAACGTTCTGGGAACCAAAATCTAACGTTCTGGGAACCAAAAATTGTTAGCTGGGAGTTAGCTGTTAGGCTAATATGGCCATACGTCCGGCTATAAGGACAGTCCGGGTTTTTTAAGGGTCTGTCCGCCGTCCGGCGCAGCTTTGAGACGGACGCTCATTTGTCATTTATAGCCTAACGTTACAGCTAACCTAGGATTGTTTTGGTGAGTTTTCTTTTAGTTAACGTTATATCTTATTTTCGGAAATGTATGTGATGAGTTTATAAGCTAATTCAGTCTCAAACGCCGTCTGTAAAACGGAAAAAATTGATTACATGAGTAAATAACTACTTTGACCGAATATACCGTAAAACTTCAAATAATAGCTGAGTCCCAAATAGACGCCTGTCTCTATTACACGCCTGGTGTGGCTGCAGGTTTGGGTAAATAAAGGCCGGTCTCAAAAGCCTTTTTTGATCGATGAGTGATGTAGAATAGAATGACTGCTGCGCTTGACAGGGCGCGTAACGAGCAGAGAGAGAGAGCCCCGGCCGCGCGCGCGCACTCTCACGTCTTCAAACAACACTAAAGCTGTCTTGCTCTCTCTCCCTCGCGCATATTAATCAAAATCAATTGACGCGATAGTAAAAGGTCGGAAGACCGCAGTTTCACAGCATTTGGAGGTTTTTAGAGATTAGAGACAGGCCTATACACTCAATGAACAACATCTCAACACTAAATTATAAAGGCCTGTCTCAAATACAAGCCGGTGCAGTTCGACGATTTGGGCAAATAAAAGCCCGGGCTACTATTTGAAGTTTTACGGTATCTGTGTTAAACCCCATGCATTTTATTTTACTGACATAAGCCTGTATTTGGCGATAATCGCCTGTTTTTGCACTCGTGTCGTGAAGTTCAACATGAACTGCTATAATGGCAAATTCGGGGACTTGGCGCCCGCTTGACGGGCTCTGACGTGTAATGACGTAGAGTTGGCTCATTGGTCGCACGTCAGAGGCGCCCGCGCCATTGGATGTGCAGTTGCAGCAGCGCAGCCTATGAGCGAGCCAGACGCTCAGCTGCAAATGCGTTTTACAGGCTTCAGTAAATCGAGTAAAATGAGACATTTGTAGGCTATGATAAGAAAAACTACTACATTAAAAATATATTTTTTTGCACTGGAAAGAACATTCTAGAAGTCTAATTCTATTGAATAGATAAGTTTGCACAAGGCTTCAGAAAACGGATGTGTTTATTTTTCTTCAAATGCAGTAAGCCGATTAGTTTTGATTTGAATGTTATATGTTGTATTTGTTTAAGTTAAAAATAAAACGTATTATGAACTAAACAAATACATGGTTCATTTTTTGGCAAAATGATCATGATAGCCTTTATATATCTGAGTGGTTAAGTCTTGTATATTGATTAAGCCTACTTTGCTATTCAAATTTTTGTGCAACTTATAAAAATATATATAATGCAACTTTGCCTAATAAGTTGCATTATAATGTGCTATAAAATGTATGAATTTAAGGGGATATTTTTTTAAAAAATTCTTCCGTGGGGGCATGTCACTACCACTTCAAATTATTTCTGCAGCCCCCGCTGCTGACAGCAGACCGAAAAAAAAACATTTCTTCTCTCTGATGATGTGTGAATGACGAGGGCAGATATTATCAGACTAGTAGACAGTTTAGTTGTTGTTATTTTTGGTGTTGCCTTGTTACGGCCGACAGTAACTGGTTTTGAGTAATAAAATGTTTGAACACAGAACTTGTCTTTTAACTAGTTCAAAACTCTAAGCAATCAACTAGCTATAAGTAATCAAATATTTATTGAGTGTCCTTTTTCTTTGTCTTTGTCTTTCTGATAGATGGATAATTTTGTGAAGGACAAACTGTCTGAGTGGAACCTTATTAATTTAATCCCTGCATTTGAAGGTATGTAACAATCCATTTCATTGTTAGAATTAAACACCATGCCAATTTTCTTTCTCTTTCTCTCATGTATAATACTACATAGTATTGTAAGTACTGGTTGAATAAATGAATGTTGTGTATTTTGCAGCCAATCAAATTGAAGAGCAAAGCTTCTTCCTCCTGGGTGGAGACGACTTGGTCACCCTGATACCACAGCTTGGGCCCCGGCTGAGGTTTCAGCAGCATTTAAAAAAATTCATTGAGGTACGCTAAGGATAAGACCTAGACAAAATGGGCTTCACGTGTTTCAAATGTAAAAGATGTTTAGGCAACAACTTAAGAACATTCTTTACACATCTGAAAATGAGGCATAACATTTATTCCACCTCAAATTATTTCCAGTGTGGTCAGACTGGGTGCCATCGGTCTTTTGAACGCATACGTTCTTTTAGGAGACACCTTTTAGGGCATGTTGTTGAATTTGAACCAGAGCATGAAAGCTTTGTTGAGCCTGCTCAGTCAACTTCCTTAGATCCACACTCTAATGAATTATGTGAAGTGGGATGCAGTGGATTGTGTGAGGTGGAAGATAGTGAGAGTACAGTGGAGCAGTGGGATGAGCTTGAAGATGAAAGTATAACAGACAGAGTTGCTCTCTTCCTGGCTAGGCTGAGGTCGAAATCATCACAAACATTCAGTGGAATTAAGGATGTGGTAGAAAACACCTCACACCTCATCAAAGACATAGTTGGTAACCTGAAAAGAAAAACTGTCTCTTTTTTAAGAGAGATAGGACAATTTGAGAATTAAAACGCGACAGAACTGTTGGAGCAGTTTGAAGCAGCTGCTGAACCTTTCCGTGGGTTTGAATCAGATTACAAGCAAATTAAGTATTTTTCTCAGTCTGGATACTTTTTACAGCCAGAGGCAGTACCTCTCCCTGGCTTTTCCTATACACAAGAAACTGATGGAGTGACAGGAACTGTGAAACAAGTGGCTGTTCGGGACACTTTTCAGTATGTTCCACTAAAGCCTATGCTAAAACTGATCTTGGAAACTCCTGGAACAATGGAGAAAATCAGTGACTGGCGAAAGCTTGAAACTACAGCCCTT